ACTTTCAGGTGAAAACTGTGTACGATAATGTGTTCCGTAACTGTCTTGCAATTCCAGCCGAGCAGTCTCCACCAAATATGGTGAGCTTTTGATAAAGCTGCTCCTGAAAAGTGTTCGTTTCGAGAGCTTCTCCAAACCTTCGAGCGGAAAATGTGCTGTTGCATTCTTAAGGTGATATCCTGCACTCAGCATGATCGCCCAGAGGGTTTGAAAGAAGCAGTATGCTGAGTTTGCGAAGAACATAGCCCGAAAAAGCGGTAATTGAATCAAATAGCTGTTGTATAAATACTTGAAAATATGGAACTGATTCCTTTCTATTGTACAATAAAGTTTCAGAATAGTATCGACGGAGCTTGCGAATGCAGTTTTGTGTACAAAGGGAAATTTTCTTCGTAATGAAACAATCAGAATTAACCTAGAGTCCAGATAATCGCGCTGAAAGGGTATTTCAACAGAGATGGTTATTCGAGCGGCGGCGGTAGACTGTTTCCCCAAACGGCTTCGCACCGGTTTCGTTTCTCCGAACATGACCGTGTTCTGTTCTCGGACCATACGTCTGCGTCTACTGGAGACTGTGCCACCACCGCTCTCACGGCAATTTTATAGACACTCCCTTTTCAACGCTGAGGTGTGGACTGTACCTTGGGGAGCCACACAAATGTTGGCGCAGTTCGGCTCGGTGAGGACATAAAGAGGTACACAGCTAAGCTCATGCAGGCCTAGCTGTGAAGTCCTGTGAATTCTGTGACAAAATTGGCTCAGTCAAACACCGTCGTCATGTTAACATGTTAACGCCTTCGAACATAGTCATCGAAGGTGTTAACATGTCTAACCTGTTAATTCAACTAAGCCAACAAAAGGAACTAGCATAGGTGAAAACTGCACCCTCCAAGCTAAACAACGCCCGAATGTTCTTCTGAATGTGTGTCTCATACGACTCAGACAAATAAGCGCTCAATCGCATTCCCAAATAGGTATCCTCCACACATCGTGATCGTCGTGAACGTTTTGGCGTGTTTTCTTTCAACACACGGTGGCGGCGGTGCGGCACTGCGCCACTTTACGACGTGCTGCGTGCTGCACCGTAACGCAGCGCCTAGAACTCGCGATGACGCGCACTGGCGCGCTACCATCGCAACCGCGCTCTAGTGCTATAGACGGGAACGAGGGGTATCAATTGGGCCGGCTGGTACTATTTTGAGAGAGTGCGGAAGAATAACAATGTACTAAACTGTGGTGCTAGACCGCATTCCAGCGTGTGGACGCGCGTCATTGCGAAGTCTGAACGCAGCTTCACGCGGTGTGCCGCGCGGGGCAAGTGGTAAATTCGCGTGACGACGCGCGCTAGCTCAATTATTCACTATGAGCTTTTGTTCAGCTGGATTCTTTCGTGCGTTGTGCACAGCATGTCTGACACCCCCTGCGGTTGTGATATTTTCACGGGATGGGTTAGCGATCATGGGGAATGGCTACCGGTTGACAAAGCGCACGGTTGCTCGCTCGCGGGCTCGCTCATTAATCCGGCACCGTTGCCACGCCGTCATCGCTACGATTTTAATGGCTTTTACCGTCCCGAATACTACTTGTTTTTAATATCGCGCAGCATTCCCTTTAACTGTTTGTGGTGACTGCCCAGTCCTTGTTTTACTTTTTACACTCCTTCTTCACACCTAGCAAAATTTAGATCTTTTCTCGATCAGGTCAGGGATTCTTCTCAAGTCATTCATGATAATATCTATGAGGGTAAGGATAAAGTCTCAGCCGTAAATCAATCCCTTTCTGGATGCGGCTTGCAATCTCCTCCCATTCAGATTCGTAGTGGCTTACTGAATGCGATGTGGTCTGTAGAACGACTTGTGGGGGGCTAGACGATGTTAACGTCGACGTTCTTGTCCTTCCAGACGAATCTGGCACTTCTCTGGAGAAACGGCTGACTGGCCTGGGCGACACCAGATTACCTTCTTTCGGAAGCTTATTAAGCTCATGAAATGGCTAGACTTTCTAGTGTTCATGTCGGTTTATCGGTGCTCTCCGACCAACAGTTTCGAGGTACCGTAGGCGAGGCGCATCGTACCTTAGGCATCTTCAGTGAAGCATATTCGGTTGCCGGAGAGAGGGAGGGAGAAGGCCATAACTGCCTCCAAGAAAAATGTTCAAGGTTGTGCGGTCTTTCTTGGCGCCAGGGGAGGGAATTTTGAGGGGTAGGAGTTCTATCTAGCCAAATTTTCTACGTGCCCTGACTGACGCCGGACGCGTAGAGAGCTTGAGCAAGTTGGTTCCGATTCCAAAAGAAAACCAGCCTTCCTTGAGCCTCATAAGTGGCCGAGTGTCTCAGGACTGTCATTATTCGCTTAAAATAGTAAAGGCACTGACATGAACATGGCCCAGCTCTCACTGGATTACTCTGAATAGAACACTGAGGCAGGCTTACTTGAGAGGATTTAAGTGGCAGAACAACTCACGTGTTGCCCGTCTATCGACCTCAACTCACGCCTTGATCTATGTTCCATAAAAGGATTATTGCCCATGCATATTGATTTCCGAACGAACAGATGAGCCAAATTAGTGGCATAACAGGCCTTTCATGGGCTGTCAGCAATTCGTCCATACTACCTCCAGTGGCTTCGGTTCTTTCTTCCAGCTGTAAGTCGCTATGATTTACAGGATTACCATTGCCTTGTTGATACGAAGTTCTTCACAGAGGCTTGTTCCTTATATGTGACAGGCTCCCTTTTCAAACACTTTTCGGTTATTTTCCCAGAAATCTTTCCCTGATGCTTCTCCGATGTCGTCCACGCAATTCATAATTTAACTGCCTAAAGCCTATTTCACAGTTTTTCAAGTGTCAATCAATGCGCCCGGTACGTTCCACTGTTGCATTTTCGTGATGATCGTTAAACTTCAGCCAGCCGCTGTGTTAATCCAACGAGTCACTCTCATTTTGCTGGCATTGTTCATGGAGGGTTTTAGTTTCGACGTCACCAGCACCAGAAAAGAAGCGCGACATGTGGTACGTTAGGGATCTCCAGTGAGGGGGTCGTATTTGCTCGCTGGAGGTAGTGGGAGAGGAATTTATTTATTTTTGTGACGAATGTTTTCTGTTACTTGACTATCCTTGTTTTTTCCTATTACAATTGCGTTATAATTCCCCCTCCCCTTTCCCTGACCCGCCTACGGATCAAATGAAAGAATTGGCAGAAAGTTGACAGTTGGCAGTTAGCAGAGCCTGGGACGATGATAGGTGGGATGGGGAATGGGATGTTCAGAAAATTCACGATTCCATCAAGAGCATCACATGCGTCTAAAATGGAGCGGTAAGACACATTATCAATTTGAGCTTCTTCTTATCATGAGTTTCAAGACGCTGTGATCTTCACTGATCATGATCGAGCACCCATTTTTCACGGACTGATCTGCTTTATCAATCGTCGGTTGCCCATCCATCCTGGATAGATACAAAACAGGTACGTTAGTTTTTTCACAACCCTGTTACTTGTCAGTTGAACAGGGGTGGTGTACCCGTAGAGGCGCCGCTTAGCATGCGCACAAACCAAAGTTCGGATCTCCAATTGTTTCTTAGGGCACTGTCACATCATTGAGACCCTCGTGTCAGCAGTTAGCTCAATTTTCAAGGAATCTTGATTGTGATGGCGACCGGTCTCGACGTGGTTCAGGACCGCCTCTGGCCTGCTTGGTCCTTTGAAGGGAAACTGAGAGATTAACCAACCTTTCAGTCGGATAGTCTTTCCACCAAATTTCTTCCAAAATAAATGCCGCGAATGCGCGCTGTGTGCCGCAACGATGATGGATATGTGAGTAACAATAACAACAAGAAAAGATATAACTTCTGAAACAATTCTTCACTGAATACCGTCCGGCGAATATCTCGTAAGGAACTGACCTGTGCGGATTAGCAACTAACAAATAATTTGAAAAGAAAATCTTCTGGCGAGTCTTGCCTCGCTGATAACCGTTAGACTGAGAATATGAGGGGGCAAAGGCCCAAAAAAACAGACTGAAACAGAATCAATCAATCCAGAGAAGTTGAATGAAGAGAAGTGGGGGCGGGGTGTCCGCAGACGCCGCTATGTGTGCCGGGGGAGACGGCTCCTGCCTTGCTCGCTAGAGTTCCAATGGACCCGTCTGATTGATTGCGAAAAAGGGTGAGTGTAGGATTTCCCGCCCGTTTGGTTTTGGCGCGGGGTTACGGTGGCGGCGTCTGCAAACGGTTGATCTATGACCAACCGCTTTGTGGAGCACTTACCTAGTGCGACACATTGATAAAGCTTACTGTCTTACTCAGCTGAAGGCAGCGTTTATACCTTACAGAAATGAAGATCGCAGAATAGGGGAACCGTGGAATTTAGCGAATCGAAAAATCAATAAAATTTATATATTTCAATCGATTCGGAGTCTTGAGGAACCGGAGGATCGACAGGGCGAAATTATTCCAATCATTCCAATTCCCCTGACACATACATAATTTTTCGGTCATTCTACAATTCCTCCGACTCCGCGATCCTCCGATTATTCGTTTCTCCAGAACGATGCTTACGCTTCCGGCTGTTCCTGAGATACTCCCGATTGCGCGATTCGCCTCTCATTCTCCGATTCACAGCTTCGGAAGCTCTGGATGCGGCCTGACGGATTTCATAGTTATGCCTGATACATTAGTCCGGTGAGCGTGGTACAGGTTCGAGTCCTGCATGGAGTTAGGTCTTTTGCTCGTAGCTCGGCATTGTTGATGGACATTCAGCCTTATTTGATTCAGAGACACGTTCTATGATCAATTAATGTGTAGAACTCTTCCTTCGCAACCACGGCACCCTCCGTAAACCCATAGTTTGTATCTCAAATGTGCTGCAAGGCTACCAGGCATCGCAGGGCAGGGCTCGCTCCGCCCACAAAAGTCAGCAGCCCGTTTGATTTCATATCGCAATCGCTGTATGACCATGCAACCTCGCTTAACTGAGGCTTTCTCTTTTTCTATTACTAATATTATGTCGTGTGGTATGTTTCTTCGTCCTCTCCTTCTCATGCAAGCTCTCACGTTGCTATCAATCAACAAAAAGGATAAGGCTGCGTTTATACTTTGCGGCAGCATAGCGTAGCGCTTCCAGCGTACGCCAGCGGCAGTGTCGGGGAAAGGATAGATATCGATCTAGCGTTCCCAGCGTTTCACAGCGTTTCACTAGCGTTTCGCTAGCGCTTGCAGCGGCAGGGAGTAGAGACTATGGGATAGTAGGAGAGTATTCTGTACTCTCCTACTCTTCTATACTCTCTAGCCCCGCCGCTGGCAAACGCTAGCGAAACGCTAGTGAAACGCTGGAAGCGCTACGCTACGCTGCCGCAAAGTATAAACGCAGCCTAAAAGGATCAATTCATCGCCATTGAGCAACCCCTTTGTGGGTCTCTGGCATGCATTCTACTTCCATTCAGAATCGTAGTGGCTTACTGAATGCGATGTGGCCTGTACAAGTGACTTGCAAGGCTACAAGTCAGTGTTCTTATCCTCCGGGCGGATCTGGTAAAAGTTTACGTCCGCGTAGGAGAAGGCTCGGTAGGTCTGAGCGTTTGCCCTTCTGGGATTTGACCCCCGGACCGCGTGGGTGGTAAGCGGGCCACCTGCTGCTACCTACCTCTGCGCCAACTACAGGGGTGAAGGTCTCCTTTCGAGGATTTTCAACGATCTTTTAGATTTTTTTCACTCTGGACCAACAAGCATGTGCTTTTTCATTTTTGAAACCCGCTTACCCTATAATCTGACTTGCCATAGTGGAATGTGCCTTTATTTTATTCCACTATAATCGTGTTTCAAAACCATTTAATCATGAGGAATAGAGATTGTCCTCTCTTGTCAAGTCTGTTCTCTACTACCGAAAAATAAAATGTTTTCAGTGAAGATTCCTGATGTTTGGATAGAGCAAAGGCATGTGTCGTGGCCGTTGACAATACAAGACGACTCTGGGATGGCAGGTACGTACAGTCATGTCATGATCCTTGCAAAATAAGGGGCATGGTAAGGATGACCCGAAAACCTTCAAAAATCTTCGTTCTACAAGACTGAGCAATTCTGGACGAGTTTCCATTGGCGTCATGCCAGTAACAGCCACGGGCGATAAGGTTGCATGTACGTACTCATGTATCCGTGCAGCACAGCAGCCGCTTCATATCGGTCGATTCGCCTTAAATTGGTCCTTCACAAATGAAGCATAGCGAGCCATCACCTCGGTCGCTACATTCAGCGGGGTGGGTGCGGTGGGCGTACGAGTCCGCATGTTGCAGCTTGATAGGGCCTTATAAGGGTGCTTTCTTTAGAAAAAGCGCGTGATCAGGAGGGCCAAAATCCATCCTCCCATGTGTATCAAACTTACACGTCTTGGAGATTCATCGTGCCACTTGCCATCATGACGGGAGGGGCGATGCTCGAGTACCGATTTGGGTAGTCTTTCAAAGGTAGCATCCTTCAGAGCGGAGGTTAGCAGTTTGAAATGTGTTAAGGGAAACTTGTCAGGGGTCCCATTAACAAGTAGTGATATCTAATATTCTAGCATCTAGTAGTAGTATTAATCGTAGTATTATCCTTCCAGCATCAAGCAGTTGCATGTGAAAGGCCAAAGAGGCCGTGCTCTAGGATGAATCCAGCTACATCCTCTGTGGTGAGCCCTACGACTTCAAAAGCGACAGTGGAGCTTCCATTTCAAGCTAATCGTCCGGTAGCATCGTCTTCGCTGGAAGGCGAACTTTGAAGGGGGAGTCTGGAGGCGAGGGTCACTGGAAAAAAGGAGGTGTCACTGGAGCAACTTGTGCCCTGGCCCTACCTTACCTTTTTTGCGCCGAGAAAATGGTACAGCGCTGTTCGCTGAGGACCATACTACCCATTCTGCACGGTCTTTGCTGCCACAGACTCTAACAATGGTACGTACTTTGTTCGCTGCGACCGATAATCTGCCCATTTCTGTCACGCAGTCTTTGCTCCACATGACTCTCACACGAAATACTCCTGTGCACGCATTACAATATGTGGGGACGAAGAAATTATAGTCAATGTGAATGGCCAGTCTCCGCGAGTCTCGAAACGTATGAGTTCGAACAGTGTGTTCCCGAATGAAGCGTGATTGTGCAATCTGTTAGAAGTGTTGGAAGCGTTTCAATCTAAAGTTTCCAAAAAGGTTGTCTATGAAACAAAGAAAGCGACTTCTGTCGAACATTTCTGCTTTTCCTGGCTATGACAAGACAATCGTAGTATGCCGCGCTGATTTACGTAGCGAGCGACGTCGCTTCCACGGTACGAATCGCCCCATGTGGGCGAGGATTTCGGTGTTGAAGGGACGAAGGATCGATAATCGCACTACATGGGGTCTTGCTGAGATACGGTAATTTTCGTTGCTTCAGTCGCAATGATACCCACCAGGGCACATCGTTGTTGGGGAATCCCCAATAAGGGGGGTCGTACTTGGTCATTGTTTGGAAAGGGGGGGGGGTTCGTATTTACGTTTGGCGTGTAGGAGTAGTGTTGACTTTTCCGTGATTTTTCGTTTCACATGTGCTATTTGCCCTTCTCCCTCCTATTGACGCTGCGATCCGATCCAGGAGGGACAGGAGGTCGGAAGGGGGGGTGTAAGACCGACTAATCCCCAACCAATGATGTGCCCTGGTACCCACTCAAGGTCTGCCGCGCACCGCCGCACGACAATGCACACGCGCGCCTCGGCGAACAACGTTTATTTTCTCAGTCTCCTGGCTTTCCCAGGCTGTATTTAGAAAATTCACCACTTCGGAAGACCGATTATATCAGCGACTCCGGGATTTTGAGCTTAATCGATAGCTTCACGGTGAAACCATAAGGTCGCTGTCATTAACTCGTGATGAAAATCCCAATTCTTTAGTTTGTCTGTTTGAGATACGAATCGAATCTCATGGGCTTCTACAGAAGAACGGCAGCACCCGAAAAACGCCACTACTTGGACAATTAGACTTCATGGCAGAAAATGGTGGGCTGAATCTATATTATTTTGAAGAATCGTATCTGCTCTACATGTGAATACTCAGATACGAAGAAGATCTAACTTTGCCCAACTGATGCTTGAATCATGGTCCACGATTACGCCGAGGAAAAATCACAAGGTAAATGAAACAACAAGTAACAACTGATAGTGGATAATCCATTGAACTCCTATAAAAAAGCACGATACAATACATGACAAGATTGTTCTTAAAAAAATGGCGAATAGATCAAAATTCCTCAACTCGCTCTGCTGTTCTTAGCACGAGCTTATGGATACTGTTTCACTTAGAAGCATGAGGGGGCTTGAAGAAACTGTCGAAAAGGCAGTAAACAGGACGCTTTTGATATGGAATTTTCAAGGAGAGCACGCCAAGAAGCCAATGTCCCGAGTTGCCCAACGTGTGGGCACGAGACCAGACAATGGGCTTTGAAAAGTGCTCATGACGCAATTTAACGGTAAACTGATAATTTTGGGCAAAGGTGGTGTGGTAGCAAGTGGCATGCTTACCACGCGCACGGTTCGAGGATCAAATCCAGGACCCGCCCTCACGCCTAGCGCAACCAACTCTATCTGGCTAGGCGGACCAGATTCGGCGGGAGGAGTAAAAGAAGGCTGAACTTGCAGCACAATTCGGCTGGCCCCACAAGTCATTGTGACCCCCATCGCATCACGAACCACGTACGATTCTGAATGGAATTGGAATACGAGCGGCACCAAAAAAGGGGTGACCAACGGCGGAGTTTATCCTTTATACTTAATTGACGAAAATAAAACTATGCCTATGCCTTGTAAAGTCAACTTTTTCGAATTCGTTGCCCTTAGAAGATTCCATGAAAACGTAGGAAAAAGATCAATTACTAGGAAGGGTCACTTGAGAATGATTTCAGTGCGAATGTCCTTACGCGGATTGCAAGTGCAAGTTGTGCTTTCTCGTCGAGAAACGCCGCCAGCTGAACTCCCAACTCCATGATCTCGAAGTTATCGAATTGGAATCGACAAAGCGGTCAGATGACGACGACCAGCCACCGCCATCATCGCATAGCGACGTTGATCGTATGGTCCGCGTTAAAGGAGGTGAGCAAAGTATTTTATAAGAAGAATGACAGCTTTTTGTGCCGGAAGAAGGAAGCTAAAACAGAAGTGTGTGTGTGTGTGTGTGTGTGTGTGTGTGTGTGTGTGTGTGTGTGTGTGTGTGTGTGTGTGTGTGTGTGTGTGTTGTGTGGTAGAAATAAGTCACGCTGGGCTGCCAATTTCTGATCTAAGATTGGCTTCGTCGCTTATACAGGAGGGCCAAAGGAACGACACTTTTCCTCCTCGACATTTAAGGCGTTACAAGTTACACTTTCCTCAATTGTGATTGGATGTTTTTACCATAAGATTTAACAACACATTGTACACTATCAAGAAACTCCACTACAGGGACGAGCGCAATCGAGAGATTCTGCCACGCGACCGTGATTCGGTGGCTGAGTTTAGCGAAGCCGTTGACTTCTCCGCCACTGTAGACCACCTAGTGAGCCTCCGCCCGAACCCACTAATTGAGGCATCTTCAGGTGACAACTTGCATATCCTGTCTCGTTCAGCGTACTACCGTCAATCCATTCCAAGTAGGCGAGAGTTTTCCAACGTCCTTCAATTTCATGTGGTGGCAACCAATCCTGTTCCAAGAAGGTACAGGCGACGACATGAAGGCAGGATATTCTCCTCGAGTTGGTCGATATAAAAGTCTGCGTTCACCTTCAGCCCGAGGTCCACGAAGAAAATATCGGTTCCCAATCCCAGAAACTTCCGGTTCATATCGTGAGCCCGCGCCTTGGCGATTGCGCTGTAGATGCATCCGTGGATAAGCTGGCGACATTGTCGGAGCTGCTCGATGTTGGAGGTCTTCCAGATCAAGAGTGCTGGTCTTTAGGTGGCTATCCATGGGTGACTCGATACAAGAAGTTCCGCAGCTGTTTTGAAGGTGAAGTGAATTCCATGGGCATTTTCAGTCCGGCTGCGATTGGAGATGGCTTCATATTTTTGGTGGAAGCATGAAAGTGGTTGGGCGACGAGGCTTGCTCCTTGCTTATCGAAGAACATCTTGGGTATCTTCCGCCCTGGTATTCGTATCCACGTCTTCTCTCTGGGCTGCGTAAACTTTACTGATATGCGACTCGGCCAAAGTGTTTTTATTGGCCCCCTCTACACTATGTTTTTTTTCTTCGTTTGCATCATAAAAAAAATGTAAGGTACAAAATTCTACAATAAAAAAGAAGTTTCATTATAACTATACTGGTCGGAAAAATTCCATGCACGGATATAACATCAATATAAAAACTTCATAGATTCAAAGCGCTAGCGTGATTCACCTAACATAAAAACACCGGCGCGATGACTTCGTGATGATTCAACACACAAAAACCTGGGTCAGCACAGCCGAGTTGCGACGACAGCCACAGGGCGGTCACAAATGGTACCTGGCGTTCGCAGCAGACCCATTGAACTAAACGTGGACCTGCTGCATTGTTCAAGTCTACGGAACTGGGAGACGCTCCGTCAATTGCGCAGAGGGCCGCGACTCTCACGGCCTGTACTACACCGTAGAAACATTATGTCTACCTATCATAAGAGTTGTAGGGGGGTGTGAAAGCTCTGGAAAGACCCGCAAGCCTCTTCAATCACCCAAGTTCTTCCGCTACTGTAAACTGCAACAAACCCTGTCAATTTTCGCGTCAAGAGTGGCGGTAGGCACAAGGTTGCTCAAATAGCTCCGTTAACAGTGATAGAAGTACAATCTTCGCTTACAAGCTCTCTCGCTGCATTCTCTGTTCTCTCGCTTGATATTCACCGCGACTCCTTATCTCTCGCTTGGGACTAATGGGGCCTTACTAGGGGTGTTTTCGACAACTTTCTCTCTTTCGTTCTTCTCGGGCAAGTCAGATAGCGCATACACTTTTGTTTCTAACTCCGCTTCCTGCAAACTTTGATTCTGCGAATTCTGCCTTTCAAGATAGTTTTTTATAGTGTTGCACAATTATTGCTGACAGAAGGGTGAGTCAGCCCATGTTACTGCTTCTTTACGCCTCTTTCAATTAATCTAATCAACCGCTGCAAAGCAGTAGCTTATCAACGGAAAAATATGCTTCTCGAAGATCTCCTGCTTCTTGATTTCTGAAATCTGGTCCCCAGCAAAATGTCGAGCAGCAGCAGTGTTTTATTCTCTTACTTCGGTGCAGAGGAGTTGCTATAAAGTGCAGAAATAAATAAAATTAGGGAGGGGCACGGCACACAAAATGATTCAGCTGTAGATATAAGCGGGACAAAAGTAAGCAATACACAATAAGAATCGGTAGGGAGTTCAACAACGAATAGTGCTAGAAAACTGATGGAAACTGATGTTCGTCATCTTGTAGTAAAATACCTCTATATCGGGTTGGCCATGAGTAACGGCATTTTTCTTCTTTCTGTGCTGTTTGATGCACAATTTCCTGCTCTATAAAGCAATAAGCATGTTTTCTCACTCATTTTTGGATTTCGTTATTTTTTAGTTCATTAAGGAAAGTCGGGTCGACACAAGTGAAAGTTTTTGACACCAACTTTTTGAACTTATTCTTGGCTGTCATAACGCAGAGGCAGCCCAAAACTTGTGGTGCATATGAGCACGGAATGATGCTTCTCAAAAATAACTGCTTCGGTAGGAACGCA